ATATCCTAAGTAAGTGTCTTCGATGCCTGTGTGCTTCCCAAGCTGTATGAGAAACTACGTGATTGCATGAGTTGTGCCATTCACAGCAAGGTACTCAACAAATTCTGGCCCAGAAGGACTGAACTGTGCTGCTCCATGACCTCCTCCAAAGTCCATGTAAAGGAGCTAAGTCCTTAAGGACTAAAGAAAAACTCCTCTGGGGAGAAATAAAATGGAAAATATCTTTATATAACATGTTTGAGTATATGTATTGCCAGATAGAATAGGAATTGTATATGTCATAGGGAAGCAGTAAACTTATCCATATGAAATAAACCTTGAATTTCTTTCATGTTTGTATTCTCGACATCCCAGATTTCCATAGCTGGATGGAGCAAAAGGGGTTAAGGCCTCTGAGTGTTAGGTTAAATCAATCTGGCCAGTAACAACTTGGTGTCCTAGAGATAGGGGAGAGGAACTAGGAAGGTAAGGTAAAACTGAGCATTTTTATCTGAGAAACTCATCAAGGAATGACTTCGATTGAGTGTGCATACCCCTGATGGTGGACTAAACTAATAAAAATGCATTACTTAAAAAAATAAATATCCTGCCCTCATGGATATTAAATTCTACTGGGAGAGACAGATAATAAAGATGATTAATAAGCAGTATATGTGTGTGTGGACTAAATATATATGGTTTTACATATTTAAAAAACCTTCATATGTTATGGAAAGGGATTAGAAAGACCCAGGTTAAGTTGAGGAAAGTTTGTAAAGAACAGTTAAGGAGGGCCCCCACTAAGAAGGTGATGATTTTAAGAATGCAGGGAGATAATAGGTATAAAAAAATTCAGCCTTTTATGTGACATATTATGCCTCACATTTTTTGAGTATACATGAAGATTGAGGGTGACAGTTCTTTGTGGGGTACAATATTGATTCTACTTGTGATACTGCCTTAATCTCTTGAGTATGGGTAGAAAATCACCAAGAGTGACTAAAAATTGGAGTAAGGTTTAAAGAATAATAGGTCTTGGTGAGGCAATGGAAAGGTGTATGTGAAACATTCATGTATTAGGGGACTAATGTAATAAAATATACTTCTCTAAAAACAATTTATAAGATTTTTTTTTTAAGATTTATTTATTTATTTATACAAGCACTGGGTACAGTCAGAAGCGCGGGAGGATGAGGGAATTCACCAGAGTCAGAGCAGGGAACAGAACAGGCAGACTAACGAAATACACTGCTGAGGGGAGCAGCGGGCGCGGCAGGAGAGGTCTGTCACGCCATGTAGGACCCTCACCGGCAGCCAGGGATCGAACCGGCGCTGCAGAGGCTGCAGGCAGCTTCGCAGCTCAGCACTCAACCGCTGCGCCACCGGGGAGGCCCCAGTTTATAAGATCTTTTTGCTTTAACTTCCATCTGTATTCAAATGGGCTTTAAAAAATACATATATATGGGCTTCCCTGGTGGCGCAGCGGTTGAGCGCTGGGTTGCGAAGCTACCCGCAGCCTCTGGTTCAATCCCCGGCTGCTCCCCGGCCACTGGAGGAGGGTCCCACATGGCGCGCAGACCTCTCCTGCCGCCCGCTGCTCCCCTCAGCAGTGTACTTAAGCCTGCCTGCTCTGCTCCCCGCTCTGGCTCTGGTGAATTCTCTCGCCCTCCCGCGCTTTTGACTGTACCCAGTGCTTGTATATATAAATAAAATAAATCTTAAAAAATATATATATATATATAATAAAAGACAAAATGAAAACTAGCAGGGAATCAAGAGTCAAGGAATTTGGAGAGGAGACTAGGTAGAATAAAACGGTGGTCACTCAGTCCTGCACTAACTTTTGTTACCCTAAGTAAAGAGGTAAACTGAGACAAAGTTAAATTACCAGAAGTTGAGTTTATTTGAGAATAGCAGAGAAATTGCACTTTGGGAAATGCACATACTATACAGCAAGTTAAGGATGTGTTGAGGTTTCGGGCCATGAGGGGAAGCTGTATTTATGGGCAGAGGTGTAAAGAGGGGGGATCCAAACAGAGTCAAACCAGTAAGTTCATTCTCACTTGAGAATAAGGAGAAACTTGGCAGATAGATGTTCATTAGATTGGTCAGGAGATAAAATTTAAAATTTGCAGAAAATCAGCCTCGGTTCTGTTTTTCTATGGGTATATGTGTGAATTCTTCCTTTCATATCCTTTTCCAACTTAGATTGAAATCCTCTCACACCTTTTGACTAAAGCAAAAAGAAAATACTCTGGGTTTTTAATATTTTTTTCATCATCTGGCTAAAGAGCACATAACCTAGAAGGGGCTTCCCGCCACCCCCCCCCCCGCCCAATATAGTGAGAAAAGATGTTCCATAAAGAGACTTTGCCCAGGACTGTTCTTCATGTATGAATGAAAGTTAGCATGCACAAAGAGAAAAATGTCCCAGTAAAGTCATGAGGTCAAAAGAGGAGGATATTAATAAGACTGGAGGAGTAGTTAGGACCTGTTATGCAACATACCCTATGCTGTGCTCATATTTTATTCTGTAGGAAATAGGATTAAGACTCTTTACAGTTTCTTTCTCTTTCTCTCTCGCTCTTGCGCTCTCTCTCTCGCTCGCTCGCTCTCTCTCGTTCTCTCTCTCAACTTGGCACTTTTTTGATGGAGGCTTCCATGCAAAAGATGAATTTCATGGGGACAATTTTAGAGTAAGGGAGATCATTTTGAGATGGTTTGTAGTCTAGGCAAGAGATTATAAAAGTCTAAAATGTTGTAGGTAGACTGGAGAGGACTAGAGGTTTCAATTTTGAGGAGGGGGGTCATGCAAAGTATGATTGGTTGTTTGTGTTTTTTAAAGTATGAAAATGAAGAGACTGAGCTCTGATCATTTGTTTTAAATGTGGCCTGTAAAGTGTTTTTGTGCTTTCAAAGGTAGGTTTGAAAAGAGAATATGTATTAGACACTGGGGGTGGCAGAATAATTTCTAAAATATTTCTAGTAACTTTTTCATTTTTATCTGCAAGATGAAAAAGTAAAATTTGGGGTTATTTTGATTAAATTAGCAGACCATATGGTGTTTGCACAGACTGACTGCTATGCGAGTTATTTTTCTCTTTCAGGATATGATGCTTTACCTGATGCCCATGTTCTGAGGCATTTATTTTCTAGTCAAGCAATTATTGTGAAGCAGTTATTCTAGTCATTGTATTTTTTTCTCAATGCCTCAGTTGATGTCACCATTTATGTAGTTTTTAACCAATCTATTTTCATGTTAGTTTAATATTTTAAAAAGTTAAATATTCATACAGGTTTACGTAGTACTTTCTGACCTTTTCTATCTTAGCACATAAAGAAATTAATAGGTTCTAATAGTCCATCTTAGGCTGAGGAAATCAAAATCTCAGTACATATTATAATTCATACCTCTCCAGTGATTCTTTGCACAGCTTGAAAGTTCTGCTTTAATAGAAAAGGTATAGAAATGTTTTGATTGCATTTTAATTTTTTAACTGGAATTAGGAAGAGTTAATAATCTGTGGTTGTGAAAGTAAAGAGCTTAAGGAACTCATGTGGGCTAGTGAAGACAGACTCAGAAACAAATTACTTATAACAACATGACTAGTGACATCATACAGATGTCAGATGGCAGTTAATTCTGCCCAGGTGCAGTTGAATATCTGAGAAGGCTAGTGAAGATGTGAGATTAGAGTTAGATCTTAAAGGAGGAGTTTCCAAAGTGTCTGAGACAGGGAAGTAGGGCAGTTTAGGAAGAGGATATAGTTTGCTTTGTAGGCCCTATGTTTATTTAATTTTTATCTGCAGTCACCTCTTAATATGTAAGTAGATATTGGAACTTAAAAGTTTGCTCTGATAGCAGACATTGTCATTTGTCCTGCCATAGTATCTTCCATTTACGTTGTTTGGATTCAGGCCCCACTATAATAAAGCCTTATATTTACGTTGTGCTTTTAATTTTCAAAACATTTTATCCTTATAACAACACCTCAGGGATAGGAAATAAAACTTAAGGGTTATTGTTTTTATTTTTATGGAGGAGAAAATTGAGGCATCATCCTCTTACTAGCATTTTCTATAGGAGTTGTTCATTGAGAGAAGAATATATAATCTTGAAATTTCTATGATGGCTATTAGTTCCCTGATACAGGCTTTTTCCTTTGCTTGATTGCAAGGGGTGCTGTCCAACAGGAAGAACCTCTCAGTCCTCTGGGCACAGCAAGAGCTCTGACTGATGAGGCAGTGACTAGGAGGGAGCCAGCAAGGCCAACAGCATGGTTGCTGATCACAGAGCTAACAGCCCGACATCTGCAAGTACAGCTGTAGCCTTTTGCTACCGCATATTCATATTTCTGCTCACACTCATGAAAAATCACAGGGTTTGGAGGAAGAATGCAAGTTAAACCATTCCAAACTTAGAATGTGCTCCATCTCTAGGACTTATATTCTGTGTTGGGTGGAGTTGTTCATGAGAGATCCTGTAGTTGGTACTTATCCCAGTTCATTTATTGCCTTATTTATTCCATCTTTCCTATACCAAGTTTAATTTAATGCCAAAATAAGATTGAGCTCTCTTAACAGATGAATGGAGTAGGTGCTAATTGTGTTGTCACTGAAATGTTTGCCAAAGAGATTTTGTTTTCTAGCTGGTTTTGCTCTCTATCCTTCAGCCTCTCCTGGAAAACTCTATATAGAATACCTGCTTATGTTTTATGGTTTTATTGTTTAAAATAGTAATTTCAGTGATGGCCTTTCACCCTTTGTATTTGTGCTTATACTTGGTAGTATTTCATTTTTTCTAAAGGTACCTGAATATTTGGAAATAATTAAGGAAATGTTTGGATTGTTAATTTTGATAAACTATACTGGGAAGAAAAGGATGACTTTGATGTGGATCCAGTGTTTTCAAAAATCATGATTTTTTTTCTCCCATTCTCCTCAAATTCATTTACTTGACAGAGAAGAATTACCTTGCCATAAGCCTTTCTGATTGTCATTTAGGAACATAAATGGGGGCCTCCCCAGTGGCGCAGCGGGTTGAGCACAACACTGTGAAGCTGTCCGCAGCCTCTACAGCGGGGCTCGATCCTGGCCAGCCGCAGAGATACCTACATGGTGAGGCAGACCTCTCCTGTCACGCCCGCTGCTCCCCTCAGCAGTGTATTTTGTCGATCTGTCTGTTTTGCTCCTCACTCTATCTCTGGTGAATCCTCTCACCCTCCCTCGCCTCTGGCCTGTACCCCAGCTCTTGTATAAAAATAAATCAATCTTTAAAAAAAAGAACATAAATGGATTCCTACAGAATAACTCCTACTTTTCAGTCTTTGATCCACTTTAGCTATAGATGTTCTGCATTCTTAAATTTGTGAAGAAATAAAGAACGAGGAATGGGAAGTCTTTTTGAGCTATGATGAATGTTCATTTTTTCTTTTATTTATCTTGGTCACAAAGTACAATGTCATTGAGTCTTATAACCATTCAGCATCATTCAATTTAGATTTCTTATGATACAGTTAATGGACTCTGCATCCAGCAGAGCTGTCACCTCTTACATGTAAGACTTTGGGCATAATTTGACTTCTGTGAGCCTTAATTTCTGATTGAGTAAAATGGTAAAGAGATGGTATCTCCCATTGTCTTAGTGCTGTTGTTTAATAAAATATTTATAAAGTGCTTAGCACCATTCTTCATATTAATGTTATCATTACAAATGACTATATGGACATAGAAAGTAATGATAACTATTATAACTCATTACTTCCTGATTTTATTTTATTCTTCCCAGCAAGAGAGTCTTCCCTAGTTCAAATCTAGGGTAAACTGGAAACCTGCTTTATTGTCATTATGGATTAAGAAAGGTATATATTGTTCTGTTGGCATCTGAAGAAAAACTTTTTTATCAATTTTCCTTTGTCATCAGTTGGTGACTTTTTAGTCATCATTAGAATAGAACAAATGGAGGCATAATGCAAATAACATCAAACTTTCACTAGTTATTTAAAAACTAATACAATTGCAGAAAATACATAAAACTGAAAACAAATGCCCTACTTCTCTATCCCTTTTCCTTTATAACTGACTCCTTTGTTGTGTATATACCCAATTCATATTTTCCCACATTTCCTAAAATTGTGTGATGTTTTCTAAGGCAGTTATAATGGCTGACCTCACATTAACATTAACTTAAGTTCATTATGCTTTTCTTGGCAGTACTAGCTTTCAAAAAATAGATCCCAGGAAAAGGGTAAGGAGTTGAGAAGCCAAGGCTGTGAACAAATAGAAAATTTGGGCCTAAGATGAATATGGAAATGAAATAAATAATTCCCACATATTTGTAACAAGGAACCATAATAAAGGGAATTTTGTTAACTGAACTTCAGCTTGTACGAATTTGCAACTACTTTTCCTTCAAGCTTTAGCATTTTCTCCATATTGCACTGTTGTAGAGTTGCTGTACTCTGCTGCATCCCAGGAGCCTGGCACAGCAACCCGCTGCTTGCAGTGCCTACAGCTATCATCCAAAGAGGCCAAACACATGGCATTGTAGTGTATTTCCAGATGTCATTCTCTCTGTTTGGATGACTTGAAGCTTAAGAAGGGTATTTGCTCTTGAATAGGAGAAAAATTGTTACTTTGGCATATGGCCCACCATGGCATCATTCCCACATCTGTTATTGATTAGAAGTGAACACTGGTCAGGCAGGATGTAAAAGTGCTGGTCTGACCATCAAATTCACCCTTCAGGATGAAATACTGCAGGAAATCTAAAGTATGGCATAAACTTGCTATACAGAAGATCTGAAAGAAGGCCCTTTCATGGCTATTGTACAGAAATCTGATGGACAGAGATAGTCTGAGTGATTTCCATATGCTAAGATAAAACAATCTTCATGCAGAATTGCCCTTAGTGGGAGGCACTGGGATAGGTTGGGGAGTCCTTTTGCATTGATTTTAAAAAACATAATAAAATTAAAATAAAATGCACACATAGTTGTGTTCAATTCAATGAGTTTAATAGTTGTCTACTCTTGTGTAATAATCTTTTTTAAAAAGTTTAAGAGCCTTAAATGCACCAGTATTTCATTTTTACCACTGCATTTCCATTTCATGTAAATGGAAGCATGCATTGTATATTTTCTTGTGTCTGACCTCTGAATTTCATGCATGTAATTGTATAAATCCTTTAAATTGTTTCTTTTCAATGTTGTAATATTCCATTGTGTGGTTTACCTCTATTTACCCATTCACCTGTTGATGAACACATGGGTTATTTCCAGTTTGGGTTTGTTATGCATAAGGCTTCTAAAAATATTCATGTAGTGTTTCTTTGGGGCCAGAATTACACAGTCATTGGGTAGATTTATGTTTAATTTTATAGGAAACTGCTAAACAGTTCTCCAACAGTCCAAGTGGTTATACCATTTTATATTCCCACCAGCCGTGTATGAGAGTTCCAGATGATGCTTCACATATTCTCCTTAACATTTAGTCAATCTTGGGGCCTCCCTGGTGGTGCAGGGGTTAAGTCTCAGTGCTATCAAGCTATCACTCTATCACCAGCCACTGCGGCATAGGTTTGATACCCCACCAGGATGCTAACCCACGTGGTGCAACAGACTTCTCCTGTCCCACCCTCTGCTTCCCCTCAGCAGTGTATTTCAGTAGATCCGCCTGTTCTGCTCCCCGTTCTGTCTCTGGTGAATCCTCTCACCCCCCACCTTTTGGCTACACCCCAGTTCTTTGTATACATGAATAAATACAAATAAAATCTTTAAAAAAAAATTTAGTCAATCTTTTTTGTATTTTAGTGATTATGTGATGGTAGCTTATTGTGATTTTAATGGACATTTTCTTGATGATTAATGTTTACTGCCTCCGTGTTTTGAACATGCTGTATCTTCCTTTATGAAGTTATATTAATTCTAGCTCAATAGTCTTTGTTCAAATCTCATTTTCAGAAATTTCGTTGTGGGGCCTCCCCGGTGGCACAGTGGTTGAGCGCTGGGTTGCGAAGCTGCCCGCAGCCTCTGCAGCGCCAGTTCGATCCCCGGCTGCTCCCTGGCCACTAGAGGAGGGTTCTGCATGGCGCGCAGACCTCTCCAGCTGCCCGCTGCTCCCCTCATCAGTGTACTTCTGTCCTTCTGCTCCCCGCTCTGGCTCTTGTGAATTCTCTCACCCTCCCGCGTTTCTGACTGTACCCAGTGCTTGTATAACTAAATCTTTTTTTAAAAGAGAGAGAGAGAGAGAGAGAATGTCCTTTAGGAGGTAAAACATTAAAAAAAAAAGGAAATTTCATTATGTTTTTATGGTTCGTTTGTCATAATTCTCTATACGAGGGTTTTTTTGGTATATGAGCTGTGAATAATTTTTATATATAGCCTATTTGTTCATTGTCTTAATGCTATCTTTTGATAAACAGAAAACCTTAATTTTTATAATGAGTAATTTTCATATTAGTTCACCTAGATATCCAGTTCTAGAAATACTTGTTAGAAAGATTTTTCTTTTCCCCATTGAATTGTTTTGGTACCTTTACTAAAAATCACTTGCCATTGAGTAGCTTGTCTTCTGATCTTGCTCTTCTTTTTTGAGATTGTTTTCACTATTTTCAATCCTTAACCTTATCATATAAACTTCTTGGTTTGTCCAAGATCCCTCTTTTCTTTTAGTTTTTTAATGCAAAGAAATTTTTGAACTTTTAAAACTTCTACAAAATTGAAAATATGCATTTTATGTAGTTTCAGTAATGAGTTGCAGAATATTACTGCTCAGTTTATTTTTGTGTGTTTAGAGCATATAATGTGTGTAAAGGCATATAATTTAGTCATAAAAACAAATTACTTTAAAACTGAAGAGCATTTTGTTTTTCTGTTTTTGTCTTTTTTTTTTTAAAGATTTATTTTTTTATGCATACAAGAACTGGGGTACAGGCCAGAGGGGTGAGGGGTGAGAGGATTCACCAGAGACAGAGTGGGGAATAGGACAGGCAGACTAACTGAAATATACTGCTGAGGGGAGCAGCTGGTGAGACAGGAGAGGTCTACCTTGCCATGTGGGTCACTCCCTGGCCAGCTGGGGATCGAACTTGTGCTGTAGGGGCTGCGGATTGCTTCATAGTGCGGTGCTTAACTCCCTGCGCCACTAGGGAGGGCCTTGAAGGTATTTTGGAGACAGTTATCAACCATTTGAAGGAAAGTCTACCTAGTTTTTATTTGGATTTAAGTCAAAATTGAAGTTCTGGTTCTAATTTTGCATCCTGATTATGTTTTTCAACCTACTATTCCTACTAGGAAAATGTGATGGTTCTATGTAATCTTCTAAGAAATTCCTAATAGTTGACTTTATTAAATAAGAATCAAGTGTATACTATGTTCTGGCCACTGAACGTTGCGCTGGGAATACAGAATGATCAAGACAGACATGGGTCCAACTCTCAAGGGGCTTTGGACATAAAAGGCAGAGACTGGCCTCCTCTGAAACAAAATAAACAAATTATGCATTAGGGCTTTGTGTTGTGAGCAGAAATCTTCTGATATGTTTCATTATGCAGCAGCTGATAGAAATGTCAAAAATATCACCCAAAATGGTGATACTTCTTTCTATTTGGGTAGGACTCATCTGCAACCAACATAAAAATTGCTATTTTTTTGTTTTGTTTTTTTAATGAAAATATGTTCCAAAACCATGGTAAAAGCCTTGAACATTGGAATGAGTAGGTATGTATGTCTGTGTTTGTTGATTACTTAGTTTCTAAATATTACCTTTTAAAATTTTTGCAAAGATTTGTTTTAGACCTGTAGTCCTACTGTAAAGATTCTTTGTTTTCATGTGGGTTTTGTCATTTTGTTTTGTTTTTTTTTTTAATGGTTTTTGTTTTGTTTTAATCCTCTGGAACCAGAAGTGTTAGCCTATGTTTTAAAACTCACATTTGGTAGTGGTACAAACAGCTGTCACACTGAATAATTGTGAAGTCATAATGAGAGTTTCTATTGCTCACTAATCTGTAGGTATAAATCTGGGTTTTAACCACATGTGATTGGTAAAAATTAGTTTGGGGGAGAGTTTATGCTATGTAGACCATCTGTTCCCTGTTCTCAAACACAGACTAAAAAGTT